TTCTATTAAGTTGTAATACAGATTAGTCGTTCTTCTAATAATATTTCCTTCTCTTTTCTCCCTTCTTTCTTTGATCTAAATTAACATGGTATCAGAGAATGTTTAGGTCTTAAATATCTTCAATACTATACTAGTAAACCGATAGAATAAATTGGAGGAGAGAGGAACGGTTGCTAGAGCTGACGTCAGTGAGCAACAAAGATGATTTCATGTTGATGTAATCATTTTGGATCATGCTACACTCAATTTTACATAGGCAATATTGTGGTGTGCTTGGTTTTTGATTTCGTGGCCATTGGGTAGGGTTTTTCAATTTTTGTCAAATTTTTTGAATCTATTTTTTGATCTGTGATTTGAGACTGATTTCTTCAATTTTTTGCTTCAATCAAGTCTAAAGGGTGCGATTAGGATGATTAGATGGCTGGTTGTGTGGTTTGTAAGCGTTTGGTTGGATTTTGGTGTGATTTGGAGGTTTTTGGGATTGTCGGCCTACTGTTCACCGTAAAAATAGTGACCAAAGGTCCAATTTTTGGCTTTGTTTATCCCTTTTGTTTCTCCTTTGGTTCTTTGTTGCTATTAGTTGTTAGTTGGCTTTGTCAACTTTTGTAGTTATTTTGTTGCTGGTTGGCTAAGATTTTGGTTTGCATATATTAGGCTTTGAGCTGCTTGATTTGAGTATTATTTGCTGCGAATATTAACCCTTTTGTTAGAATTATGGCAAGTGGAAACTCTGATTCTCTTTAGGCTATTGGTGTCCAATTAAAAGGTGAAAATTATGCATATTGAACTTATGTTATGATAATTTTTTTGTTGGGTAAGGAGATGTGGATTTATGTAAGTGGTGCTTCGCAAGCTCCAACAGATCCCAAGGATGAGAAATTTGTTGACTTAAAGAATATTTGGGAAATTAACAATGTTAAAATCATCACTTAGATTAACAACTTAGTTGATCAGACTATTGGTGTTTATTTGGCTAAGTTTAACATAGCCAAGGGGATTTGAGATTATTTGACTACATTGTTTATTCAGTACAATTTTGCAAATAGATATTAGCTTGAGCATGAAATTCGAGATACACGTCAGGGTGATAAGAACATTAAGGAGTTCTACTCAGTTATGATTGGATATTGGGATCAATTAGCACTTGCTGAACCCGCTAAACTGAATACTCATATAGTATATCACACTTTCAGAGAGGAACAACAGTTGGTGCAATTTTTGATGGCCCTCAAAGATGACTTCGAGGGACGTCGTGGTTCTATTCTCTATCATAATCCACTTTCCTCAATTGATGCAGTTGTGAATGAACTTCTGCCTGAAGAAGTTTGTCTTAAGACTCTTTCTGGGAAAAGTTTTATTCCATTGCCTAATCATTTTGTATTGGTTGTGCCTCCCAAGGTGACTTCTCATTCACAAAATAAATATCGGGGTCGAGTAACTTATGATGAGTGTAGTTTCTGTCATGAGAAAGACCACTAGAAGACCCAATGCCCTAAATTGGTGAACAAGAATGTTTTGAGGACATCAAATCAGTCATTTCAGCCCAAAGATCGTCATACAATAGTAGTTGCACCCTTGGTGGATGAGTCTTTCTTATAGGCCTCCAACCTAACTATGATTGCTAATCAGTTGCAGAAGTTATTCTCTCTCCATCAGTCTAGTCCTCTTATAGTATCTCCCTCAGTAGGTTCGTTTACCTTAGGTCCTTCAGGTGTATCTCACACGTTTGAGTCTTTAACTTAGGTGTCACACATCACATGACTAGTGATTTTTTCTTATTTGCATTTATTATCTCCCCTCCATCTATTTCTGTGCTTGTAGCCAATAACACTCACATGCCTTCGGCTGGTGCTAGACAATTATTTCTCCCCACCTCACACTTTCGGATGTCTATTATATTCCTCGGCTCACTTTGAATTTAATCTCAATTAGTCAACTCTTTGACTCTAGATTCTTGGTTTATTTTTTTTCTTTTGGTTGTGTTGTGCAAGATCCACAGTATAAAAAGTTAATTGGGACAGGCTGTAGAAAGGGAGGGCTATATGTGTTGGAGGTGCTCCATGTTCCAAAAGTTACTTCTTTTACAGTTGATTTGTCTTCGTTTCATTTGAGTCCACAATCATCTAGTTTTTATTTGTGGCATTATCACCTTGATCATCTGTCTCATTTTCGTTTGAAACTTTTAGCTTCTACTTGGACTCGTAGTCTAGGAAGTCTAGAGTGTCATAACATTTCTGATTGTAGTCAATGCAATATTGCTAAATTTACTGCATTACCTTTCAATAAGAGTTTTAGTAGTTCTCTTACACCATTTGATCTTGTTCATTATGATATATGGGATATTACTCTTATTCCTATACAAGGAAGGTCCAGTTATTATGTTTCCTCTATTGATGATTATACGAGATATTGTTGGGTGTATTTGATGAATTGTCGATCTGAATTCTTTTTCATATTCACTGCTTTTTTGTGCTATGGTACACATTCAATATTCCTCTATTATTAAATACTTTTGATGTGATTAGGGAGGTGAATACACTTTCACTTCATTTCGTGATTTGTTAAAATCTGATGGTATCTTGTATCAATCCTGTTGTATTGACACACCTAAACAAAGTATTGTTAAGTGCAAGCACTGTCATATTGTTGAGACAACACGTTCTATTTTGTTGTCAGCAAGGGTCCCCAGCTTCTTTTGGTGGGACATTGTGCTTACAGCAGTTCCTTTGATCAACTGCATTCCTACTATTCTCACCTCTAGTGTCTCTCCATTTGAAAATTGTGTAGTAAGCTACCTAATTACCAAACTCATTGCACTCTCGGCTTTATGTGTTTTTCTTGGTTATGTTTTGGGTCAAAAGGAGTATTGTTATGATCTTATTACTCGCTAACTTTGTCACTTGTCATGCTTCATCCCTTTCTTTTCCATTCCATTTAATTCTTCATCTCTGGATCAGTCTGATCTTCTTTATATTGATCCCTTTCCTGTTGTGGTTCCCTTGGATACATATGTTGGTGATATCACTATGTCTGATTTGCCATTTTCCTCTTCTAATATGCCTGTTATTCGTCCCCCTATTATACATACTTACGCTCGCTGGAATTCTGCTGTCTCTTCTATGGATGAGGTGCCTCTTCCTTCTTCTTCTATCCCAACATTAGTTTCTAGCACCGTGAATCATGCTCACCGCTATCCTCAGTACTCTCAGAAGTGTCTAAATAATAGGTTTGACTTTTTCAACTCTTGTTATTTTTCTAATTTTTGTTCTTTTCTCATTTTTATTCACTCTTTGTCTGAACCCATCTCCTATAAGGAGACTATATGTGATTCTCTTTGGCAACAAGTTATGGATGAAGAGAAATCTGCCTTACATAAGACCCGGGCTTGGGAGTTAGTATCTTTACTATTTGATAAACACACCATTGACTGTAAGTGGGTTTAAAAGATTAAATCTAAATCTATCTACTCTGTGGCTATATACAAGGCTCAGTTAGTGGCTAAAGGGTTGCTTAGGAGTATGTCTTAGATTATGATGAAACTTTTGCTCCTCTTGCTAAGATGACCACTATTCGTATAGTGATTATAGTAGCTGTTATTCGTCAATGGAGTTTATCTCAGATAGATGTGAAAAATACTCTTTTTTAATGGAGATTTATCTGAAGAAGTTTTTATTATATCTCATCCTGGATTATCTCATGATCTTGGTCCAGTCTGTAGACTTCACTAGGGTTTATATGACCTTAAACAGGTTCCTAGGGCTTAGTTTGCCAAGTTTTCTTTAGTCATCTGTAACTTTGGTTTTTGTGCTAGTGATCATGATTCTGCACTATTTTTGCGGTCCACTTCTGCAGATTCCATCATCCTCCCATTTTATGTTGATGATATGATTCTCACTGGTGGACATTGTTGGTATACAATTATTGAATAATTAGTTGCAGATTTACTTTGAGATGAAAGACTTAGGTTCTCTTCGTTATTTTTTGGGGATTGAGATTGCTTCTTCTCCCAAAGGTTATCTTTTATCTTAGTTCAAGTATGCCTTAGATATTATTCAGCGAGATGGTTTATCATATAATCACAGAGTTGAGACCCCTTAGAGCTTAATGTTGGATATTCTTCCTCTAATGGTCCTTCGTTGCCTGATCCTACCTTTTACCACACTATTGTTGAGAGTTTGATATATCTTACAGTTATTCTCCTAGATATTTCTTATGTTGTTCATATTGTTAGTCAGTTTGTCACCTCGCCTACCTCTATTTACTAGGCTGTTGTTCTTTGTATTCTTTTCTATTTTCGAGGTGCTCTACGTTAGAGTCTACTTTTTCCTTCTTCCTCATCTATGGAACTCAAGGCTTACTCAGATGCAGACTGGGCTCATGACTCTATGGATCGCAAGTCCACTACTGACTTTTATCTTTTCCTTGGCGATTTTCTTATTTTCTAAAAAAACAAGAAGCAAACTATTGTTACTCCTTCCTCTGCTGAAGCTAAGTACCGTGCTATGCCATCTATTACAATTGAGATAGTTTGGTTACGATGGTTGCTTACTGCTCTTGGCATTTCCTTATCTGCTCCTACCACTATGTATTGTAATAACACGAGTGCCATTCAAATTGTTTACAACTCGGTGTTCCATGAGCGTATAAAGCTTATATCCCTCCCCTTTCTTCCTTTTAGTAAGTAGTTAACATATTTCTTCACAAACTTGCATACTATTACCTGTTTTTATTATCTTCATGGCAAACTCATGTTTTCTGCTATCACGTCATGAATTTGAGGTTGTTAGAGTAGTTAACATATTTAGTCTCAGGGGTAGTTTAGTTGTTTTCTTTTATGTTGCCCTACTATATAAGAGCCCCAGTATGTATTTTCTATTAAGTTGTAATACAGATTAGTCGTTCTTCTAATAATATTTTCTTCTCTTTTCTCTATTTTTTCTTTGATCTAAATTAACAGTATTGATGTCGTATAATAAGCTTATTGAATTATAAGCCCTTTCATGGAGGTGGCTATGGAAGTATGCCCAGGGAACTTCTAGAGAGGGGTGATAGAGGGTAAACGTGGTTGATCTCTTTGGGGTTGACGGTGGAGAGGTGTGAACTCCCTGAGCTGTCTGCCTTGTGGATGGGTGAAATTCTTGAAGCATGTGGGAGTGGTGGTGGCTAATGAAGAGCATTAGATTTTGGCTTGATATATGGTGTGGTGATCGGCCCCCATCTGACAGCTTTCCCTCCTGTTTCTCTTTGCATCTAATGAGGGGACCAGGATTGCAGATTGCAGACTGCAGATTGCAGCGCTCTTTCAGGTGATGAAATGGTGTGGAATCTGAGATTTCGTAGGAAACTCCAGCGAACAATTGATAATGTTGTATGATGTTGAAGGCATATGATGGTCGAATATTGTTGCACGTGTCGGAGGGTGAAAGAATCAGTTAAAAATGTATTGTTGAAGTGTGAAATGCTCTTTGTTCTTTTAGGGATGAAATATGTTAAGCTGAGGATAGTGGAGGCATTGCCTGCTAGTTGGAGCGGGAGCAGAGTTAGGAGGAGCATAGGAAGAGATGCTATACCGACCTGCATTGCCTCGTGGTATATTTGGAGGGAGAAAAATAAGCAGTTCTTAGAATGTGAGGAGCTGCACGTGTGTAAAATTGATTTATCTTGATGCTGACCTTGCTTTGTTTTTGGCATTAAAGTGGTGTTTGTAGGCATTATGCCATACACTGTACATAGGGTGCGCCCTAATGTTAAGTGCATTTAATTGTATTTCGTATTCTTTTCTCCTCCTTTTAAGACGGGAAAGCCATGCCATGGCTATTTTGACCCTAACTTTAAATTCATCATCTACTTTCAAGAGTAAAAGGGTCATACAATACATTTAATCAAATTACAAGTCAAGTGGAATTAATAATTTCATACCCCATAAATCAACCTAGAAGGAGGTCAGCCTTCACACAAGGAGGGGTGTTATTCCAAAATCATCCAGGGATAGCTGTCCTCCACCCCCCCGGGCCGCGCGGGGAGGACTTCTGAAGTTTCTTTTTTCCTTTCCACTTTATGGATGTTTCTTATAGGTCATGGTTTCTGTTCTTTTGTCCCCAAATTTCTGGAGTATGCTATAACATTTTACCCTGCATTGTTTTCCTCATATTTTTCTTGCTTGCAGAGCTTCCCGCTGGTATTGCCTATATTTTGTTGTCTATGTGCTGTTGGGAGTGTACTTCGTCACCAATTTGATTCTTGCCGTTGTGTACGATAGCTTTAAAGGTCAGGTATGGATTTCTTTCAAATTAATACTGCTCTTTTGTACATCATCTTATTGAAAGAAAAAAAATACTGCTCTTGTTTGTTTTATAGCACAGATGCTATAGAACCATATATCCAGGGGGTAACTTATTTTTTTTTGTACCTTCATGTGGTTTGAGCTAGTAATGTTTAGGAACCTATTCACTAGCCAATTAAAGTTTGAAGCTAAAGTGAAACAACTAACAATGTTTACTATTTAGTCTAAAAAGACAATAGTGCCAGTCATCTATTTTTTTTTTAAATAAATTATTTAGTGCTGTTTCCCTAGTTTTTCTTTTTTAACAATTTGCAAACCAACTTAATTTATAGAAAGATAAGAAAAAGGGATGGTGTTGGTTTATTTCAGATAGAAAGGAAAGAAGAGATACAAGTTATATAAAGTTATAGAAGTCATTTTGACATGCTATTCTGTTAAAAAAATGGCTTTGACCTTTGACCGTCAATTTTGACAAATTCTAACTTTTAAAATTTATGCCCGAATTATAAGTGGGTGAAGTGTTGGTTTCCAAACCAAAAGAAGATAAGGCATCAGCCGCATCACTGGCTTTAATCACACAGTGGCAAAACATAATTTACCCATGTTTATGGTGTGTTTCTTGCCCTTCAGAAGGGAGTGGTCTTGGGTTCAAATCTTGGGGCGTGGTGCATAAGTATCGCTTCCCAAAAGGCGGTTAATTGCTTATCAGATATTACACTACCAAATTGGTGTGATTGTTTGATCTTGTTTTGCCAAGATACAACTTGGATTTTTACGTTTATTTCTTTTTCTCATAGCTTGTCAAACAAGTGGCTGAGAAGGATCGTAGGAGGATAACGACATTGCAGAAGGCCTTTAATCTTATTGATTGTGATGTAAGTATGGAACTAATTTTTTTTTTATGGCTCCCTCTCTCGTATTATAGATATATTTTAGAAGTACAAATGCAGATACATTACGCAAAGACAGCATGACCCTGATAACATTGACATGGCAAATATGAAAAAAATTAGAGCACAGAAACCGATTGGACACGGCGGTACATAGTTGCATATTTATACAAATTCTTAAAAGACAAAATGCCTACTGGAAAAAACATATACAAGTAAAACTTATTTTCAAAACCTGTACATTAATAACTGCTCCAGTTTGGAAGATGAAGGTCTACAAAATATTGTATAATTTTTTTTCCTACTTTTGATGTTTTGTTATTTATATTGCTATATATTTTCTCAAATGTTAAAGTTATTATTTGCATGGTTTACTTGCTTTGGCACATGATGCCAAAGTTTCTTTTAAGCCTCTTCTGAGGCATGTTTGTCCAATTTCCACTAGATATTCTATTATGAAGTGTTTTGCTATCTAAAAGTGTTCACGGGTTGTCCAAGAAGTGCTGGTTGACTTTTAGAAATGGCAAATTCTATATTTCAGTAATTGGCAGATCTTACGAGTTTCACATTGTAAAACTATAAAACAGCTATTCTTTAGAAACGTTCGTGCCACTTATGCAGTGTGAAATTCACAAAGATTTGTGAAGTTCCTTTTCCATCCAAAAACTTAACAGAAGGTGGATAAAGTTATTATAGATGCACTACATAAGAGTCATTTAGCCTTAAGCTCAATTATACAAGTGTTTGTGGTACTTAGCCCAACCTGAAGCCCATGACGGTTTCCAGATTTCCTTTTAAATCCAGAAACTTATTAATCATATATAATATTATCATAGGTTTGCGAAATAAGAGACTAATTTTAGCCTTAACCTCTTATAATTGTATGTACTTTGGGTGATGAGTATAATGTTTAAATAACATATGCAAAATTGAAGACACTTGAGATCATTCAAAAAGTTAATTGGTCTTATGCTTATTTTTTAATTGAATTTCCTTTGTTTTATTTATGGTATGTTTTCTCCCGTGGTTTCCTCAAATATGGTGGTATGCCAACCTTTTTTCACCTTGAGATCAACCACCTCTAGGTCACCTCTAAGATAATTTTCAAAAAAGACTGGGTGATATGAATTGATAAGCTCTAGTAGCAGTAGATTTAGATTGAGAAGGTGTGTCAATGAAGATAAGAGATTTAGAAGAAGAAGGGGTGAGGAAAAAATCGGGGCAAAATTAATCTAAGTACTCAAGCAAGTTTGATTCGTATCTTCTTCATCTCCAATAGTTGCAAACTTGCAACATTTTGACAACAAGAATGCCTTCAGGACCAAATATTACGGTCCTTTGTGGGCAATGTCCTCGTCTTTGTCTTCAGTGTTATGATGGGTTGCAACTGCAAAGTAAGGATGGCAGTGGATTGGGGAAAAACAGGTATTCGTCCAAATCTGTCTCGTTTAGACTGGGAATGGATTATACGTATTGGACGGTGGATGTATATGGGGATACCCGTATAAACCCATGCGGGGATGAACTTACCCTTACCCCCGCCCAAGATTTTCTTGTCAGATTTCATGTTATTTATTTGTGTTTAAGATTTTATGTAATTTGATTGCTCTCATGTGGGTTTTGAGTAGTTATTGAAATCTGCTCGGTAAATGCAAAGATTCAGCAACTTTGGAAATCAAATTGTCTTGTGCGTATGCTTGGGAACCTGATAACTAAATATTGAATTATTTTTAGATGCTTATTTTTCTTTCTCAATTAATTTATTAATAACACATTTAACAATGTGTTGTTCTAGATCTTCTTTAATTTGACAAGATATCATATTACTCAGTGGTTGATTTACATTTTCTTTCTATGGTATTGTGGATTATTTAATGAAGTATTTTGAATTTGTTTTCCAATAAACTTGTGAAATTTATTTGCTGCCCTAGACTATTTGGGAGAAGTTTGTGTGTATAAAGGGGCATTGGCTCTGTTTATGCATTTTGGTCCTTGTACCATACGTGCTGTTGTTTATGCCTTGAGGAAATAAACATTTGCTTTCAAGAGATTGATGACTTTGTGTAATTTGCTTAGTTGTATTAACTACGAGATTGGTTGTTGGTGTTAGTTTTGCTTGTCATATCACATATGTGAGGGGGTTATCTTGATTTTGGAGATTTGTGTTTTTTCTGCCATTCTTTCCGATTGGAGTAGGGTTAGGTTTCCTTTATTTAGAATTTTGGATTATGTTGGCTTGAATTTGGGCTTGGGCTTGGGCTTGAGCGGGTACGGGGGAAGCGGGGACGGGGGTAGGGATTAGAAATTTACCCGTGGACGGGGATGGGGATTGAAATTATATCCGTTAACGGGGGTGAACCGGGGATGGACGAAGGTTTTTTTAAGTGGGTATGGGGATGAAGACTATACCCCCGCCCCCGCTCCGGTCCACTGACATCCCTACTGTAAAGAGAGCTTATATTCCAATGGATTGATTAGGATGACCTAATGTTGGTTGCCTTTCCATTCATTGCCAATTGTTTTTGGGTTGGTTAATCTAACATGGTAATAGAGATTGGGTTTGGGTGGTTGGTGGGCCAAGTCATCAATTTGAATTTTTTAGTATACATTTTTGTTTGTTAGCCTCACGTGTGGGCTTAGATACCATATGGAATGATTAGGACCATCTAAGGTTAGTTTTTATGCTTAAAGTGTCTCTCCACTCATTGTCAATTGATTTCAGGTTGGATGTTTTACTAGCGACAACGACTCCAAACTCTTGCTTTGCAACCTCAATAGCAAGCAAATTTGCACCTAACAATGATTGCAGCCCTTGCTTCCGATGAAAACCTAAGAAGTACGAACACTTAAGTTTGGCTAAAGTTGCACTCAGACACAGCTAGGACACGGGCATGCTTAGGGTGCACACACTCAGACACGCTAAATTGAGAGTCTATTTTTTTATTGTTATATTTTTTTCTAGACACGTTGGGAATATGTGATTAATATGCTTGGAACACATTGGGTTTTTTTTTTTTTCAAATTTTGGAAAACTTGCCAAGTAACTTTATAAATAAGAAAAATTATTTTTGTAATTTTAAAGATATATGGGTCAAAGGTATAAAATAAAGAGTTATAACCACCACATGAACATAGGGCACCGATATAAGCATGATATTTGGACACGACTACGAAATTATATTAACTTTTTATATGAAAGTAATTTAATGAAAAAATAGGGTTATGAAATTGGAGGTCTTTAAAATTAGGGTTAAGAAGTGCAATAATTTTTGAAAATGGAAATTGTAGTAGTCATTGATGGATGTTTATGATGAACGTGAATTGCTATATTTGATTTTTTTTTATTCAATGATGTCGTGATGTGAATTATTAAAATTACGGAAAGGATGAATTAAATGATTGCCATTAAAATGTATGCATTTTGTCATATGATAATATATATACACACACACGTTAGATTGTGGAGTTGTTAGTGTTAGGCGGCTAAGAGATAAAGAATGAGAGGAGAGGAGAGGAGAAGACAATAGTATTTAGGGTTACACATTTATATCCTCATGCATATAGCATCACAAAATACCAAAATTACCCTTATGGGTTACACATGTTAATATAACACCACATAACACTTCCCCTCAAGTTAGTACATAGATATCTCGCATGCCAAATTTTGCAAATAATAGGATGAAAAATTTTGCTACTAAGCCTTTTTGTGAAAATATCGGCCAACTCATTTTTGATTTCACAAAAGGTATGTAAATCAAACTCTTGTTTAGCTTCTCTTTGATATAGTGTTGATCAATTTTTAGATGTTTAGTTCTATGTTGAACTGGGTTATGTGTAATGTTGTAGCTGCCTTATTGTCACAGTACAATCTCATAGGCCCATCACTACAAATTCTGAGCTCACCCAGTAAAATTTGGAGCCACTTAAGCTCACAAACTCCATGGGCCATTACTTTGTATTTAGCCTCTACATTAGATTTGACAACCAATGTTTGCCTTTTACTTCGCTATGTGACAATGTTTTCTCCTATCAAGGTGCAGTGGCCCGAAGTGGATCTTTTGGTGGGTCATCTGCCAAGCCTTTCAGTTTCAAGTGACCATATTACTAGAGAATAAAATCCCTTTCCTTGGAGCTGACTTGAGATAACTCAAAATACGATAAATAACTTTAAGATGAGAAATTCGAAGATCATACATGAATTGACTTACAACCCCCACTGCATAGTCCAGTATGAGAGAGATATATCAATCTCCCCATTAATTTTTGGTATCTCTCTTTATCTGTAACATCAGCAACATCTCGACTTCAATAGGAGAATTTGTAGACCTAAATCCCATCATACCAGTCTCTTTAAGTAGGTTAAGAATATATTTTCTTTGGAAGATAAAAATGCTTTGTGTGACCCGGTAACCTCAATCCCAAGAAAATATATAGACCCGAGCCTTTGATTTCAAAATCTTTAGTTAGATGAGCTTTTAGTTTGTTAATTTCTTGTACAACATTCCTTGTTATTACTATGTTATCTACGTGTACAATGAGAACTGTTATTTTGTTATTTATCGGTCTGATGAACATAGTATGATCAACATGACTTTGATTATATCCAAACTTTAACATTGCTTTAAAGAACCGGTCAAACTAGGCTCTGGGTGATTGCGTCAACCCATTAAGTGATTTTTTCAATTTACACACGTTTCCTTTAGTTTCTTGAGATGAAAAATCAAGTAGAATCTCCATATAAATCTCTATGGAGAAAGACATTCTTCGCATCTAATTGTTGCAGATGCCACTCCAAATTAGCTGCACAAGAGAGAAGGACACGTATGAAGTTTATCTTTACCACCGGAGCAATTGTCTTCTGAAAATTAATGCCGTATGTCTGAGTGAACCCCTTATTAGCCAGTATTGCCTTATATCTCTCAATTGTCCCATCTGCTTATTGTTTGACAGTGAATACCTATTTGCACCCAATTGCCCTTACTCCAATTGGAAGTGTGAATAATTCCCATGTGTCATTCTTTTTTTGGGCTCTCATTTCCTCTATCATAACTTTTTGCCACTTGATTAATGAGTGCTTCGTTCCAACCTTGAGGAATAAGTATAGATTACAAGTAGGAGACAAAAGTACGATAGGATGAAGACAAAGAATTAAAAGAAACAAAGTTAGAGATGGGGTGTTGCGTACATGCTCGAACACCCTTTCTAACTGCAATGGGAAGCTTAGAATCATTATTAGTTGGATTACCAATAACTGGAGTGACAATTGGAAGCTTATTATGTGGTGAATCAGTAGGAGATGCTAGAACTGGAGTGGGAGAATTCAATTGACCCGGTGGCACATGGGTGGTTTGTACCTTCTAACACCGAGAATAAGTCTTTAGCGTATCAAGTGGATCATTGGTAACAATGGTCTGTTTCTTCCCTGATTAGTATCCCACTGGAAAGACAATTGAAGAAGGGATTCACGAGGCTCTAGACATACCATCTCTTCCTCTTGACGAGATGACGGAGGAGAAAATAAGGATTCAAACTCACAAAAAGTAACATCCATACTAACATACGTTTTGAAAAGGTGGATGATAGCACTTATGCCCCTTTTGGGTGGGAGAATAACAAATAAAGG